ATGCCACTGGGATAGGGAATTATTACGGTTTTTGCCACTTGACTGGAATAGTTAGAAGAAACTCAAGAAAGTGTGAATTTTATAAAGCTTGAGATCTACTAATAAAGATGTTTAACGCGGTATTGCTTTTATGTCATCCACTAAATTTTCTTGTTTTTTGACTTTGCAATTTTTTATTTTATAATGTTTTAATAAATTGATTACATAAGTTTAAGGGCATATAACTATTTTATTTTTTAAAAATTGACTTTGAAAATTTAGATTGTTTTTTTCTCACATCAGCCAACAAGTCTCATTGATTAGTTCCAATAGTTCCTAATCATAAAAGTATATGTAATTTTTATCCAAACGTTTTGTGTTATTGGTAATTATTTTATGTGGTTTATAAATTTTGACATTTAAAGTAAAGCATGGTTAAACTTACTGTTTAGTTACGTAATGACAGATTTAAATGCTGCTGATTTCTTTGACGTTTATTTTGTATCAATGAATTAGTTGTGAAACAACAATTAGACATACACAGCATTTGAAATTCAATCCTTCTCTTATCTATCAAGACCAAAACAAAAAGTGCTCGATTGCCTCAACTCGTGCAATCTCCAAGAACGATATTGTCAACAAAGTAAACCGATTTGTATTTTGAATTGATTTAATCTTATAGTTTAGTTCATATTTTGGGTCCTTGACCGAACCGATTTGTTAATTGGTTTAATGCAATTGTTGATCCTCTGATTAGGGAGCTTTATTTTATAATTTCACAATCTCTCATGAGGCCAAGAGCAGCAGATGAGATAAGTTTGGTTTCAAAACAAGTACTTTTTTCGTCGGAATTGCAGGGCTTATCGATTCTGCTAAACAGCTAAGTCATGGTGCAGATGAGATCAGTTTGGTTTCAAAATAAGTACTTTTTTCGTCGGTATTGCAGGGCTTATCGATTCTGCTAAACAGCTAAGTCATGGTGCATCATTATAATCAGCTAAATCGCGGTTTTACATACCAAGAGTATCAGGTACAACCTCAACGTAGTAGTAGTAAGTAGAAGGTAGTCTCAAGATCATAAGAACAGACATTTTTATCATCTAATGCTCGGTTTCTTTCGGATTGTCATCAGTCGATCGAGCTTCCACTTTCTCTTCAGTCACCTCGACTCTCTTATCCATTTGCTCTTTTGAATCTTTGGGGTTATCTTGTAGCTGCAAGGACAAAAACAGAGAATCATGGAGGAATACACTAGTTTCTGTTTAACTATAAGCCCCGTCTTTTCCTCGGGTTATATACAAATTTAAATACTATTAGGAAGAAGAGAGTATCACGAGACTCACGCCTAAGCTTTTCAGGCTGGCGGAAACATCATCTTGCTGCTGATTTAAGGTGGTTTTCAGATCTTTGAATTCCTGTTTTTTTTTTTTTTTGGTGCAAACGAACCGAATCAAATGTGCATCATGAAACAGAAACCAGTAAGCTGTTTTATCGACATATATACATACCTCACGTAGCTGCTCAACTTCAAGATTCAGAGTCTTCTTCAGCCCAGAGAGTTCCTGTAAAGCACCGAGGAATACTTTATTATATTCAAACGTCAAAACAGTTCAAGAGAAGAGCTCTTGTGTCGCCTGAAAATGTATTAAGGAAAACTAGAAATGGAACTCACCTCACGGTAGACTTTAACTTGGCTGTCCAATTTACCTCTCCAACTTTGCAAGTCCTGTGACAGTAAAGAGATTGATATAAGCTTGTACTGTTTAGAAAAGACAATAGATGCGTAAACAACATGAGAAAAGTCGATATGGCATTAAAACCTGTTTCAGATTCTGGATCCTGTTAAGTAACTCAGCCCTTGATTCGTTAAGTTCCTACATATAACAAAATCCAGACTTCAGTAAACCGCTTCGCATCAGACTAACAGCCTTAAGATTTAGCTTATAGGAAGAGATGAGAAGCAACACATGTACATACCGTGAGCTTCGAATCAACAGGACTGGTATTATCTTTCTTCTGCAGCAGAAGAAAGAAACAACCAAGATCAACATCAATCTCAATTCCACACAGACATGGATTTTAACTCGTCTCTAATCTCTCAAGAAGAAACGACAACAAAATTTGGGGATAATCATGTTCTAAGACCAATGAGATTTGTCAATTATTTATATCGATAATCAGAGAAACAACTGTGTAGAAACAAAAACACATAAAACCACCATGTATATGGGAGGATTATTCCAACAAAATCTGACTCCAAAAGAATCAATGTAATCAGAAACTGAATGTTCTTAAATCTGTAGAACTTTTATATCTGGACAATCTCTACCAAAACATAAATCAACAAGAAGACCTACAGATCATAGTCAGAAATCGGAAGAAACAAGACAAAACACAGATCTATGTCCAAAATGCCACAACTAATTCCAAAAACCTACAATCAAAAACCCTAATAAAACAACTGCGAAATCTCAATTGGAACCCAAAACTAAGCCCTAAGACTACGCGAGTTCGTGAAGCGTAAAAGTAAAGCAATTTGAGAGAGCAAAAGTGTGAGTGGAGATTACAGGAACAGCAGTAGGAGAAGAAACGGAGACAAGAGCCGGTGAAGATGTCGAATCGGAGGTTTGGTCAGCCATTATCGATGCTAAATCGGAAATTTCAAAGGGTTTGAGATCAAAAGGAGGATTTAGTTTTGGTTACTTATAGGGTTTGAG